GGGGTAACGCCTCCGCCCGGTTGCCCACCGAGTCGGTTATTTGTGCCAGAGAGGGTTCGGTCCGACGTCATTCGATGGGGTCACTGTTCCAGTATAGCATGTCATCCAGGGGTAAATCGCACCAGTTTTTTGGTCAAGCAACGGTTCTGGTGGCCATTAATGGCTCGCGACATTCGGAGTTTTGTCTTGGCTTGCTCGGTTTGTGCCACTGGTAAGACTTCCAATCGTCCTCCAGATGGGTTACTCCAACCGTTGTCTGTCCCTTCGAGACCCTGGTCCCATATAGCGCTAGATTTTATTACCGCCCTCCCGCCCTCCCAGGGCAAGACGGTCGTTTTGACCGTAGTGGACCGGTTCTCGAAGGCGGCCCATTTTATTCCCTTGCCCAAATTACCTTCTGCCAAGGAGACAGCGGTGACTGTCTTAGATCACGTCTTTCGTCTACATGGCCTCCCGGCAGACGTGGTCTCTGACAGGGGTTCCCAATTCGTGTCCAAATTTTGGCAAGAGTTCTGTAAATTACTGGGAGCGACTGTGAGTCTATCTTCGGGCTACCATCCCCAGAGCAATGGGCAAACCGAGAGAGCCAACCAGGACTTAGAGAGAGTGTTGCGATGTTTGGTGTCTAAGAATCCTTCCTCCTGGAGTCAGCAACTTTCATTGGTGGAGTACGCCCATAACTCGTTACCAGTGTCATCCACGGGCCTATCTCCGTTTGAGTGTAGCTTAGGGTACCAGCCACCAGTTTTTTCTAGCCTGGAATCCGAAGTCGCGGTCCCCTCCGCCCACGCCTTCGTCCAGAGGTGCCACCGCACATGGACCAGAGCCCGTGAGACTCTGCTCCAGGTGGGGGCGCGCACCAAGGCTAAGGCCGATCGCCACCGGTCAAGGCCACCCGTTTACGTCGTGGGTCAAAAAGTGTGGCTTTCTACCAAGAACATTCCGCTCCGCTCCGTATCTAATAAACTAGCCCCCAAATTCATTGGCCCGTTTACTGTCACCAAGATCATTAGTCCGGTGACAGTCCGCCTCAAACTTCCTCCAGCGTACAGGAGAATTCACCCCGCCTTTCATGTTTCCAAATTGAAGCCCGTTTTTCGTTCTCCCCTTAATCCGCCGGCCCCGGTTCCCCCACCGCCGCGACTCGTAGATGGGGAACCCACTTATTCGGTTAATCGTATTCTGGACTCGAGACGGAGGGGACGCGGATTTCAGTATTTGGTGGACTGGGAAGGTTACGGTCCAGAGGAGAGAAGTTGGGTTCCTGCGAGAGACATTCTGGATCAGTCCCTTATTGATGATTACAATCAACAGGTAGGTCCTCCTGGGAGCGCCAGGAGGCGCTCCTAGGGGGAGGGGTACTGTCACGGTTCATGAATTCATTGACTCTTTCTTGCGCTGTGTTTGTGTATGTGTGTGAGTGTGGGCGTGGTCGCTGATCAGCCGCTGATTGTTATCAGCGCCAGCTGATTCTGATCAGCGATCTCTATTTATAGCCTTGGTTTTCGTCTTGTGTTTGTCAGATCGTTGTTGGATGTTCCCCGTGCTGTTTGGTCTTTGCCTGGTGTCTGCTGTTCCCTGTTGGAGTTCGTCTGTTCCCGTTGAAGTTCGTGTTAGAGTTCTGTCTGTCTGCTGTCATTTTGGAGTTCCTGGTTTCTTCTCTTCACGTCACGGGTTCGGACTGTTTCACCATCACTCGGGAGGATCATCACACTTCTCAGCACCACGGAATTGGGTTGCCCATTTGCCCCTGCGCTACCATTGTGCCCTGGACTGAGTTTACCTGTTCCTAACGTTTTCTCTAATAAACCTGGTTTATCGCTATTGCATCTTCTGTCTTATTCCACCCGTTACAGAGGGGCTTTTCCCAGATGAACTTAATCTGTACAGCAAACAGGGCGTCTCTTCTCCCCTCTACCATCTCCTCCCTACTCTTCCTTTGCCTTGTCGGCCCGCCGCTTACCCGGTTCAACCCCTTTCCATACGTGAGGTCATGGATTGCAAAAGGACATAGAACTGCACTGGACACTAGGTGTAGAGAAAGAAGCAGGGGAATGGAGGCCCGGGGCTCTATGGATGCTGTATGGGCCGTTTTGGACAAATAGGCTAATGACGGTAGGAAGAAATCACAATTATTCCATGCTGTGTTTGTGTTTTTTATTGATTATTGGGTGGTCATCATTGCAATATATAGCCTACTATATATAGTTTAATTTCTATGTGTATATTTAAGTCCCACAAGTAGCCTGTTGCTGTTTATGTGGTCACATGATGGAGTGTTTGTCTCATCCAGTGTTTTTTTTTTTTGTTAATTTAATTGTCCGATGGATATTGCTGCTTGTGAAAACGATTGTTGCAGTGTATTTTTTAATTTTTTTATTTACATTTTGCACCCATGCAGTGCATGTTATGAAATTAAAATAAACATTGCCCTGATGTACACACAGCGTTGTTTAGTTTTTTTTTGTCAGAGACCTACGTAGGCAGTGTTATTTTTTTTTGTTCCGTTACCTCCAACCCCCGTTTTGAGTCGCCGGAGTCGCTTTTTATTGAATTATATGTGAAACATTTTCTTGAGGAAACTGCACATTTAAATATAAAGGTTACACCAACACGTTTTACAGTCTGATGTCATTGTATTATTTGCTATTATACAAAATTCAAACAAGTCAATGGAATATTTCCTCAATTTCTTTATTTTGTTCGCTTTATTATCCATTAACAGATGTTTTTAAATTCACTTTCTTCATTGAAACGGACTCAAATCTCTTTATTAAAATAATAATAATAAAATGTCAGAATCCTGAAACAATATGAGAAAAGTTTTGATGACACTATGAGGTTTAACCGACTTTCCTCTACTCATTAGAATTTAATTATGAATTAATTAATATATACTTTAAATCATGCACTTATTATTATACAATGTTATAATTTTATTAATTTGTATTTAATTTAGTAATTTGTTTTGTGTATGCATGGTTTGTTTGTTTTCAGTAAGTGGTTGAAGAGGATGAAACACTGCCCTCGTGTGTCTGAGGAACTGCAGTTTCTATGATGTGTGTGTGTGTGTGTGTGTGTGTGTGTGTGTGTGTGTGTGTGTGTGTGTGTGTGTGTGTGTGTGTGTGTGTGTGTGTGTGCGTGAGAAGAGCTACACTACAGTTCCTGTGTGTGTGTGTGTGTGTGTGTGAAGAGCTACACTACAGTTCCTATGTGTGTGTGTGTGTGTGTGTGTGTGTGTGTGTGTGTGTGTGTGTGTGTGTGAGAGAGAGAAGTGCTACACTACAGTTCCTGTGTGTGTCTCTGTGTGTGTGTGTGTATGTGTGTGTGTGTGTGTTTGTGTGCGTGCGTGTGTGTGTGTGTGTGTGTGCGTGCGTGCGTGCGTGCGTGTGCGTGCGTGCGTGCGTGCGTGTGTGTGTGTGTGTGTGTGTGTGTCTGTGTGTGAGAGAGTGAAACACTGCCCTCGTGTGTCTGAGGAACTAGTTTCTATCCCTTCTGATGGCCAGTGTGTGTGTGTGTGTGTGTGTGTGAGAAGAGCTACACTACAGTTCCTGTGTGTGTCTGTGTGTGTGTGTGTGTGTGTGTGTGTGTGTGTGTGTGTGTGTTATGATTCAATTTTCTTATGAAATGACAACTATTTTTGTTTGAAAAGCCTCCCATGATAATTAACCTGAACTGCAGTGGAATGAACCGATCATTACAACATATCTGCATTTTAGAGTTTATAAAAAAACCTCGACTGATGTTCCTCCCTTTTACATAAGCATGTAAGAAAACAAACATTTTAGTACCTTATACATTCGAGGACCTTATTCCTTTTATAAAACGGTTACCACACAATAAAAATATTAAAGTAAAAAAATATGTATTAGTGCAACTTTCATGAAGTAAAATCACTAAAAGCCTTCCTTCCGCTAGAAAAAAAACAGTCCCTGACCGTGAACAGCAACAACGTTCCAATGTGTAATATGCATGAAAGCTCAAATAGAAACAACATAGGAACTGCAGTGTTGCGCAGTGATAAATAGAGCCGTTGGGTGAAGCGGTCATGAATAAAGCACAGCTATTGACCAATCAGAATCAAGGATTGGAACTAACCGTTTAATAAATGAAATTAAAGACATGCACTGAGCCTGAGTAGGACATTTTACAGTGTTTAAATCTGTTTTGTTTTGTAAACCACTGAGCTACGTGTGTGCAGGAGCTATGAATAAAGTCTGTGTTGTCGTCAGTACTCTCTGGTGGATAAACTAAGTAATGAAGACACTACTAAATTACCTCAAACACATCTCTGCCAAAGTTAAGGTGCTAGTACTTTATTAGCATGTTATGCACCTTTATACTTGTATAGTCAACTCAAGTCATCCTCATTTATATAGCGCTTTTAACAATGTAGATTGTCTCAAAGCAGCTTTACAGAGATAAACATATAATTTAAGGTAACAGAGATTGGTTTGGTTTTATAGCGGTTCTTGAATAATGTTATTTCCAGCTAAATTTAGTTTTGATTGACTCACTTCCGTCGAAATGGTCATTTGTTATTAAATTAGGGGCTGATAAGACGACACCGTTCTCTCTAAACAGACTTTAAACTGAACCTGTGATAGACGGTGATGCGTTCACATGCGCATTAATAATTGATTCTGTAGTTATGTGCGTTTGAATATATGTGGCAATGTTTGTAATTCCCTACAAACCATGCCTAAATAAACTACTTGTACTACTCTACATTTCAGAGATAAATGTTGTACTTTTAGTTTTCAATGACAACAACATTCTATTCTTGAATACTTGAGAGAAACTAGCCTACTTTCATCTTTACAAAATAAACAGTATTAATATTATGTTTTGTTCCAGTTCAAGGCAGCTGTTATCAACAGAGTCTTTTTGCTCTCTTTCGTCTCAGAGTTGTGAAACCATTACTTGCCCATTTTTGGTCATGTCTATCTTCGACAACCACCTCTTGCTTATTAAAGGACACGGATGACATGTTTATCTTACACCCACGTTTTCACTTCCTTAATTGCTTCGTAAGTGTGTACCCAGACCATGTTGTCCCATTGACGGGTCTTTCTACTCGACTCCACAAGTTGCCAGAGATTATTTTATCTAACAGCTGTGTCTTCAGGTTTCTGCTTTGGTGGACGATGGCAATGATGGCCGTTTTGGCAGCAGTGCTTCTCACTTACGGAGTCTCTACAGGAATTGCAAGGGTAGGGTTGCTTCATTGTTACTGCTGTGCAATAACATCCATAAGATGACCAGAAAACAAGATTAATGTTCTCAAAATGTCTATTATTTCTTTGAAGGAGGCCCGTGAATCTGATGCTTTAGCTGGGGAAAACGGTGAGCTTCCACTGGACATGGCTAAAGACTCTGTTGACGACATGTACGATAAGTGTGAAGATAAAATGTGGAAGAACGTATCAGCATACCTAAGGAATGAGACAAACAAAAACCCATTATTTAAAGAGGTCTGGGGCAGCCATTATAAAAAAGGAAAAAGAGACGAACAAAAAAAATATCAGATTGCAGCAATTCGTACTTACACTGACAAAAGAGGTGTGTATCGTGACTTCAACAATGCAGTTCGAACCCAGGGACCCGAGTACGAGACCAAATTCGGGTATCACGCACTTCATTTTCTGCTGACTACTAAAGCTAGAGCCAAAAAGGAAAATCAATGTCTCACTGGCTACCGTAGAGTCAACGCAACCTTTAGCCAAGGTGTTGAAAACAAAGAGATTCGCTTTGGCTCTTTCACCTCAGCCTCACTGGATACGTACGCCAATGAAACCCAGTTCGGAAAAAAGTCATGCTTTGAGATTTTCACGTGCATGGGAGTAGATATCTCCGACTTCTCTGAATATTTGAACGAAAGAGAAGTGCTGATTCCTCCCTATGAGGTCTTTAAAGTCATAGAGATAAAGAACAGTTCAATGCATCCAGATCTTCCATGTGATGTGGTCTATAAAGTGAACAGTACAAAGACTCCTCTTTCCAAGTTGAATTGTTCTCTTGTTAAGTAAGCACTTTCACTTGTTTACATACAGTTAACAAAACATGTCAAATTTAAGATGCACCATTTTAAATAAATGATCTTTAACCAAGATTAATGTGAATGTGGATTTATTTGTTAACGATGACATTTCTCGACAATCTCAAGGTGTAGATTTTCTACTGTGCAACAAGTGTTTAAGAGAAATAAACACAGCTGCATAAAAATTAACCCTTACAGTTGTGTCATTGTTAAACTGGATCTGAATTAAAATGTTTAAATGAATAACAAGATTTAATACATTATTTATTGCCCATGTCATCTGTATTTAAAGTCAAGTCATCCTCATTTATATAGCGCTTTTAACAAGGTTGATTATTTCAAAGCAGCTTTACAGAGATAAACATATAATTTACGGTAACAGAGATTGTTTTGGTTTTATAGCGGTTCTTGAATAATGTTATTTCCAGCTAAAGTTAGTTTTGAATTGATTCACTTCCGTCTAAATGATCATTTGTTATTAAATTAGGGGCCACTAACACGACACCGTTCTCTCTAAACAGACTTTAAACGCGAACCTGTGATAGACGGTGATGCGTTCACATGCGCATTAAGAATTGATTCTATAGTTATGTGCGTTTGAGTGTATGTGCGCAGGTTTGTATAATTCCCTACAAACCATGCCTAAACAAACTACTTGTCTTGCCTATAAGTTTTGATACAGAATTTTATTTTATTTTATCACTATTAAATTGAATGCATAACCTTCATACAAAGTTACTGTGTGAAAACTGTCTTAAAAAATAATTAACACACTCGTGTTTCACAAGTTGTGCATGTTTATCGAATGTTTAAACACCTCGGCGTCTAACAGCTAAAACAGGAGAAGCTCTGAGTTCATCAAAAAGTTCACATGTTGATGAGTCTCCTGTCACAAAGCTTGATTGTGTCCAGTCAGATTTCTGAGAGGACTGTCTATATGTTTGAATGGTCTTTGATGCTTTTAGGTTGTAGAAAGTCCTCTTTACAAATCGATGATATTTTTGTACATCAATCTCACGAAAGTGCTTATACAGCCTACCACGAATTTAATTTCTCGTGCTATTTATACGCCAAAAATGTTTTTTTTTTGCATGCATAGCCTATGCAACGCACTGTAAATCTCTTGGGTAGGATTAGGGGTGTGGCGTGCGTGCGTAGTTTACACGCAAAAAACTGCGTATCATATACACGCAAAAACTATTTTTGGCGTATAAATGGCACGAGAAATTAAATTCGTGGTATACGCGCTTTCATGAGATCGGGCTGTGGAGCCGGAGCCAGAACACATGACTTTTAAACATTAAAACATATTTAATATTTAACTGCACTTTGCTGGAAACTGCATTTAAAACAGCTTTAAATAGGAATTAGTGAGGTTGCATATCATTTGATGTGTTCAGTTCAAGCTTTTCTCAACAGGAGGAGACTTTTTGTCTCTCTTACATGGAAATTTGCTTTGAATGTAAATGTGGGTTGAATGAGTACGCTAAGCTTGCAGAACTGTGAAGATAAGACCTCGTGGTCACTGTCATGAACCAGCTCAAAGATGTGACAACACAAAGGAAACCACACATAATTAAGAATTGGTGCAGCTTAGGAGTCCATCTTTACTGGTAAAATTGACAATATACTCAAAAGACCAGCTCATTTTAAACACCCAAAAGCGTCCATCCCTTTTCTACACCTGCTATTTTCCCTCTAAAGAACTAAAGACAGAGAACATGTTATTCTCATGTGTGATTAAGATGTGAGCGGTGGAGGAGGAGGCCAGCAGATGATGAACTGAGCAGCCGAGCTCTGTGTGATCAGGAAGTGACACCCATCAACTCATCAAATGTGTGTGTGTGTGTGTGTGTGTGTGTGTGTGAATAGCTACAGTACAGTTCCTGTGCGTGTGTGTGTGTGTGTATGTGAGTGAGTGAGTGTGTGTATGTGAGTGAGTGTGTGTATGTGAGTGAGTGTGTGTATGTGAGTGAGTGTGTGTATGTGAGTGAGTGTATGTATGTGAGTGTGTGTATGTATGTGAGTGAGTGTATGTATGTGAGTGTGTGTATGTGAGTGTGTGTGTGTATGTGAGTGAGTGTATGTATGTGAGTGTGTGTATGTGAGTGAGTGTGTGTATGTGAGTGAGTGTGTGTATGTGAGTGAGTGTATGTATGTGAGTGTGTGTATGTATGTGAGTGAGTGTATGTATGTGAGTGTGTGTATGTGAGTGTGTGTGTGTATGTGAGTGAGTGAGTGTATGTATGTGAGTGTGTGTATGTGAGTGAGTGTGTGTATGTGAGTGAGTGTATGTATGTGAGTGTGTGTATGTGAGTGAGTGTATGTATGTAAGTGAGTGAGTGTGTGTATGTGAGTGAGTGTGTGTATGTGAGTGAGTGAGTGTATGTGAGTGAGTGTGTGTATGTGAGTGTGTGTATGTGAGTGAGTGTATGTATGTAAGTGAGTGAGTGTGTGTATGTGAGTGAGTGTGTGTATGTGAGTGAGTGTGTGTATGTGAGTGAGTGTATGTATGTGAGTGAGTGTGTGTATGTGAGTGAGTGTGTGTATGTGAGTGAGTGTGTGTATGTGAGTGAGTGTATGTATGTGAGTGTGTGTATGTGAGTGAGTGTATGTATGTAAGTGAGTGAGTGTGTGTATGTGAGTGAGTGTGTGTATGTATGTGAGTGTGTGTATGTGAGTGAGTGTATGTATGTAAGTGAGTGAGTGTGTGTATGTGAGTGAGTGTGTGTATGTGAGTGAGTGAGTGTATGTGAGTGAGTGTGTGTATGTGAGTGTGTGTATGTGAGTGAGTGTATGTATGTAAGTGAGTGAGTGTGTGTATGTGAGTGAGTGTGTGTATGTGAGTGAGTGTGTGTATGTGAGTGAGTGTATGTATGTGAGTGAGTGTGTGTATGTGAGTGAGTGTGTGTATGTGAGTGAGTGTGTGTATGTGAGTGAGTGTATGTATGTGAGTGTGTGTATGTGAGTGAGTGTATGTATGTAAGTGAGTGAGTGTGTGTATGTGAGTGAGTGTGTGTGTGTATGTGAGTGAGTGTGTGTATGTGAGTGAGTGAGTGTATGTGAGTGAGTGTATGTATGTGAGTGAGTGTGTGTATGTGAGTGAGTGAGTGTATGTGAGTGAGTGTATGTATGTGAGTGAGTGTGTGTATGTGAGTGAGTGTATGTATGTAAGTGAGTGAGTGTGTGTATGTGAGTGAGTGTATGTATGTGAGTGAGTGTGTGTATGTGAGTGAGTGTATGTATGTATGTATGTGAGTGAGTGTGTGTATGTGAGTGTGTGTATGTGAGTGTGTGTATGTGAGTGAGTGTATGTATGTAAGTGAGTGAGTGTGTGTATGTAAGTGAGTGTATGTATGTATGTGAGTGAGTGTGTGTATGTGAGTGAGTGTGTGTATGTGAGTGAGTGTATGTATGTGAGTGAGTGTATGTATGTGAGTGTGTGTATGTGAGTGAGTGTATGTATGTAAGTGAGTGTATGTATGTATGTGAGTGAGTGTGTGTATGTGTGTGAGTTTGTGTAAGGGAGTGAGTGTGTGTATGTAAGTGAGTGTATGTATGTATGTGAGTGAGTGTGTGTATGTGTGTGAGTGTGTGTATGTGAGTGAGTGTGTGTATGTATGTGAGTGAGTGTGTGTATGTGTGTGAGTGTGTGTATGTGAGTGAGTGTGTGTATGTAAGTGAGTGAGTGTGTGTATGTGAGTGAGTGTATGTATGTAAGTGAGTGAGTGTGTGTATGTGAGTGAGTGTGTGTATGTGAGTGAGTGAGTGTATGTGAGTGAGTGTATGTATGTGAGTGTGTGTAAGTGAGTGAGTGTGTGTATGTGAGTGAGTGTATGTATGTAAGTGAGTGAGTGTGTGTATGTGAGTGAGTGAGTGTGTGTATGTGAGTGAGTGTATGTATGTGAGTGTGTGTATGTGAGTGAGTGTGTGTATGTGAGTGAGTGTGTGTATGTGAGTGAGTGTATGTATGTAAGTGAGTGAGTGTGTGTATGTGAGTGAGTGTGTGTATGTGAGTGAGTGAGTGTATGTGAGTGAGTGTATGTATGTGAGTGTGTGTAAGTGAGTGACTGTGTGTATGTGAGTGAGTGTATGTATGTAAGTGAGTGAGTGTGTGTATGTGAGTGAGTGTATGTATGTGAGTGAGTGTGTGTATGTGAGTGAGTGTATGTATGTGAGTGAGTGTGTGTATGTGAGTGAGTGTGTGTATGTGAGTGTGTGTATGTGAGTGTGTGTATGTGAGTGTGTGTATGTGAGTGAGTGTATGTATGTAAGTGAGTGAGTGTGTGTATGTAAGTGAGTGTATGTATGTATGTGAGTGAGTGTGTGTATGTGAGTGAGTGTGTGTATGTGAGTGAGTGTATGTATGTGAGTGAGTGTATGTATGTGAGTGTGTGTATGTGAGTGAGTGTATGTATGTAAGTGAGTGAGTGTGTGTATGTAAGTGAGTGTATGTATGTATGTGAGTGAGTGTGTGTATGTGTGTGAGTGTGTGTATGTGAGTGAGTGTATGTATGTATGTGAGTGAGTGTGTGTATGTGTGTGAGTGTGTGTATGTGAGTGAGTGTGTGTATGTAAGTGAGTGAGTGTGTGTATGTGAGTGAGTGTATGTATGTAAGTGAGTGAGTGTGTGTATGTGAGTGAGTGTGTGTATGTGAGTGAGTGAGTGTATGTGAGTGAGTGTATGTATGTGAGTGTGTGTAAGTGAGTGAGTGTGTGTATATGAGTGAGTGTATGTATGTAAGTGAGTGAGTGTGTGTATGTGAGTGAGTGAGTGTGTGTATGTGAGTGAGTGTATGTATGTGAGTGTGTGTATGTGAGTGAGTGTGTGTATGTGAGTGAGTGTGTGTATGTGAGTGAGTGTATGTATGTAAGTGAGTGAGTGAGTGTGTGTATGTGAGTGAGTGTGTGTATGTGAGTGAGTGAGTGTATGTGAGTGAGTGTATGTATGTGAGTGTGTGTAAGTGAGTGACTGTGTGTATGTGAGTG